GGCCTTTGGGGTTCAGGGCTTTGGGTGACCTTCTCCAACTCCCATAGAATCCGACATACAGTCTATAAGCCAGTCTTAAGTTGACTCAACTGCCCCAAACCCACCCTAAACACAGGAGCCCTGAACATCCCTGAACCCTAAACTCAAGAACCCTGACCCTAAACCCCAAAACCCTAAACACCCTCCCAGCAGTCCACAGTCTCTGCTGGACACTTTGGCAGCGCCGCCAGGGAGGGCAAGGCTGTAGATGGCAGCAGACGAAGAGGCGCCTTCTCTTAATCTCGGCTATACATATATATATATATATATATATGTACATACATGTATATATATATATATAGATATAATATGTCTATCTATCTCTATCCCTCTCTCTCCTTAAACATATAGATAATTAAGTAGGTAGATAGGTAGATAGGTAGATGGGCAGATAGGTGCATGAATATATGTTTCGATCGGCTATCTGTCTGTCTATATATATACACAGCATCTACGGAAACATAAACGGTGACATTCAGATAGCGACCATACAGATACATAGCATATATATATATATATAGACACAGACATACATACATATATATATATATATATGTGTTTGTGTGTGTTTGTGTGTGTACATGTATGTATAACATGCGTATCTATATATATATATATATATATAATATACACATGCATACATACTATGCTTGGATCACACATTGTACATATATATATATAAATATGCATAGACCATGTATACGTACATACAGGCAGACAGACAGACAGACAGACAGACGGACAGACAGACAAACAGAAACATAAATCGAAAGATAGATCGATCGATAGATAACATTAGTGCATACATACATACATACATACATACGTACATACATGCCTACAAAAACACATTTAAACTCGAACATATAAATCTTTTAATTTCGAAGCGCTTAGGCATGTTCAGGGTCTTAGGGTGTTGGCATGTTTTCGAAGGTTTACGCTCTGGCAACTCGGACTCCGCCAGACGAGGTCTCTTGTGTTCAACTGGATACATCGACTACCTATAGTCTCCGTTGTAGTTCCTTTTTGGTTTAACCAAATATATGTTAAGGATTTTACAAGGTATCCCCAAAAGGGAACTACAATGGAGACTATAGGTAACAAGGCCAGGATTTCGGGCTTCAGGCATTTTAAACACAGGTCGAAGTCTTCCTGAGAATCGCCTGAGCAATGCGGCAAACAAAGTGGGACGCGGGTCCATGTCATCATAAGCTACCCATAGGCCCCATAGTAGTTCCTTGTTGGGGTTACCTTATAGGATTCTATATATGAACCCCTTAAAGGGAACTACTTTAGGGCCTATGGGTAAGCATGTTCATTGGTTCAGCCAAGCCGGGCGGCCCCCGTAGTGGATTGCACCGCCTTTGCCTTGTCCTTTGCACGGTGTTCAACAAGGGTTCAACAAGGTATTACGAGGTTCATAGCTTGAAGAAGTTTCGGGGTCCAAAGGCGTTTGAGCTCATGCTTTCGCAGCAAGGTTCAGGCTTTAATTACAGTGCGTCGTCTGCGGAAGTGAAATACGGAAAGAGCGGGTAATGTGATGGATGGACACGACAACCAAGAAAATTCGAGCCTGATGATACTCTAGTAGCAAGAAAACATGGCAAGCAACAGCAGACAGAGAATGACTGCATGCTCGGCTCCAACAGCGTCTGCTTCCGGAACTTCTTGTCAGAAAGCAGGGCCTTCGATGCACGAGGCTGAGCTTAGAGCACAAGAGGTTTCTACCTCTAGGGCTGGGCTTCAGGCTTTGAGTTTTCTGGCTTCCTGTCGGTAAGTGGCCGCAAGGACCCAAAAGCACAGAACTGATGCTTGCACCGTACAGTGATACAGCATGGGAAGAAGTCGTTTCAACTTGCATCTGAGAGCATTCCTGCACCCGTGCCCTGATGTCACTTCTCCATGAACATGCTCCTAGCAGGTCTGCACGGAAAGGTGTTGAGAATCTTCGAAGGTCGGCCGAGAATACAAGCTTTCAAATGAATTACACTCAGTCTGGTTCCCGGTTTGCATCAATTTTTCCATGAGCTTCGACTCTCTGCAAGACCGACAAGGTTTGAGTGCAGGTGTGTGTATCATGACCGGTCTGAAAACCTCCCAGACTTGCTGATGCGTACACTGATTGTCAACCTGACAACTCTACACAAGACAACGGGAAATCCAGAGCATAATGCAAGGATACATGCCGCCATATCTAACTACACCCTAAATAGTAAGGGCATCTTGATGCTAGGGACATCTGCATAAAGTATCTGCATTCGTTTTCTTGAACACCTGCATGCTTCGACCCTTCCTCCTAAACCCTAAAACCTAGTTGCCCGTACAGTCCCGTAAACTTCGGCGACTTTCTGCTAGAATCCGAGGGGCCCAAGCTGTGCAACGTAAGGTGGAGCGCTCCACAGCAACCTCCCGGAAAAGATCCGGCGAGATCGAGGGATTGATATGAGGGTTCGGGTTAAGGACCTTAGAAGGATTATACAAATTAAACAAGAAGCGGAATAAAAACAAGTTGCCCTTGAGCATATGCATGTGCGTGGGTTGCATGAAGGCACGCATGCCCTATTGTAACGTAAGCCTGCAAAAATCAAATCCCCACCCCCTTGAAGCTCATCAACCAATCTCGTCAAGAAGTCCGAAGCCTGTCTTTGCCGGCCTGTGCCCTGGCAAGGATTCAGATTCTTGTCCAAAGTCTCAATGTACTTTGATAGCCTCTACTTTGGCCTTAAAGGGATCCCTATAGAGGTGCTTGAAGGCCCAAGTAAATACTATACCTATAGTCTCCATTGTAGTTCCTTTTTGGGGATGCCTTATAAAAATCCTTAATATATAACTACAATGGAGACTATAGGCATATACTACATGGAGCCTTAGGGTTGCATCTTCATCGACCGCCCGCAAACTCCTTTACCGCATAAACCATGAACCGTGCGCCGGAGGATGCATGATTAGACTGGGCCGGGGATTTTTGGGGCATAAGAGTAAGGAGTTATGCGGAATACCCTAAACCCTAAACCCTAAACCGCTTCTATGTTATGCCGCGATCGGGGCCTGCAGCTCGGACTGCAAGACATCACAAGCACGGTGGGCGCTTTCGGGTAAGCGCAACTTCACCTCCAAGTCAGATCGATGCTGGGAGTTGATGTGCTTGCATCTGAGCATTTCTCTGCTGCTTTTACATGGCCCTAAACCCTAAACCCTACACCCTAAATGAGCATAGCCACAACCGTGTAACCAGGAATTTCAAGAGCAGACCAAGACCGAGGCGATTCGATCCTTGCCAAGACACACACAGTGCCACTGTCTTGCATTTTGTTGCTTACTACCACATGTACTTCAAATCTTGTAGCTTTGAAAGCTCGAACATCAGCAACACACCCGTCTTACTTACGGGTGGGTAATCCTATCTCAGCGCCCTTGCTATGATGTGCCCGTCGTGAGAAATTCGGACAGGTACAGTAGCCTTGTCAAAGTCCTTTTACGTCAGCAGCAATGCTGTTTTGCACCAAGCCTGACCGAAGTTGAAACCCACACACCCAAAAGCCTGATCATCGCACCCCGCACCCGTTTGGGATTTGGCTACAGGAATGGCTCTTCTGCGGTTGAATTTCACTTGCCTTTGCCACGTCGCCATACAGCTGATTCGTGGAGCGCTTCAGTTCCACCTGGGCTGGGGCTAGGACTGCTTGAAAGGTGTGAGCACGAGCAGATTTCACAGAAGCCTGATGCACTCCGCACAGAACCAAGGAACGGCATCAAGCCACCTATAGAACCCTGAGAGACCCCGCGCACTCTCCGAAGCCATGATATAGACATGTCATGAGCCAACCGGCACTGTAGAGATGGATCGGTGGAACCTGTAAGACTCCGCCATCTTTTCTGCCAGGCTATCGTCGAGAACGGCTGAAAGTTTAGGGCCTCGATCGGACGCTGCGGCAAAGTGGCCAGTACCTCTGAGCCACGCCGGCCGGCCATGAAAGTACCTCATCGTGGCCCCAGGTAGATCGTGTTCTCTCCCTCTTTCTTTCATTGGGTTTAGGGTTTAGGGTCTCTCTCCCTCTCCCTCTCTCTCTCCCTGCTTTCGCAAGGGTTGCGGACGACGGAGCGACCCTCCTCCATCGACCTCGTCCCTGTGCTCCTCTGAGACCCCACCCCTAGAGTCACACCTGTTGTGCTTAAAGGATCATGGGACTTAGTAAGTAGGGTTATAATTAAGGTAACTATACTTATAACCCCAATTAGGGGACTTATAACCTTACTTACTAAGTCCCATGATCCTCCAAGTAGGGGATGTAGTGGCAGTCAGCCGAACTTCAGAACTGCTGAGTGCTCTTTCCCCCTGTCACCAAAACAAGACCTCGACAAGCTTTTCTTTCGCCAGGGCTTTGCTACATTCGGAGGCCTGCAGATGGCAAAAGCAATTTCATGTCTGCAAGAGACGCTCTCCGAACCCGAAACCCAAGTGACCCTGAAACCTGAACCCATCACTTTGATTTTAGGATTTAGGGCTGTGTTGGTCTATGTACAGGCGTAGAGCTTAAGGCTAGTTTAGGGTTAAGGATCACGCATTGATAAGCCGACAAGACGTAATCCTGGACCCACAAACCCGGCACACACCAACCCTCAACCACCCCAAGACACCTAAACCCTAAATCCTAAACCCTAAACCCCATAATGACGGGCCGGGCTTCCTCGTGACAGCACGTAGGCCTGCCGGTCTACACCTCGCAAGGTGGCTCAGGGAGAAGGGCGGCGCAATCTTTGTTGTAGGGCTTAGGGACGTCGGGATGTTCAAAAGCGGTTCAAGGCAAATGGCAAGAAGTGTGGTATATGGTAGACACGAAATTCCTAAAGCCGAAAACTCCCTTAAAACGCAAACCCAAGAACCGATGTACCAGTGGAAGGACAGATCGGGAGCTCCCTGTCGGGAGCTCGGGTACACAAAGACATTTGGGGGGTTCTCTCAATTAGGGTCCGTTTAAAGTCCCCAATACCCTTAGGGTTTAGGGTTTAGGGTTTAGGGTTTAAAGTAGTACGGCACCCTTAGAAAGAAGACCCCCAAAGGGACCCTACTTTAGAGAACTACTATCGCTTAGGCAGCGCTGGCGGGAGGTCTTCACTGAGCAAGTTTCACCCATGCATCTTTCGCTCCTGCGGGGTGTTTCGGAGGACACTGCAATCTGGGTGGGGGGGGGGTCCGCAAATAGGGGACCTTAATAATATAGTACCCTAAATAGCAGGATCCTGATTATAAGGACCCCAAAATAATGCACCCTGTCAAGTCGGAAACTCCCGTCTCGCCCCTGAGCCAAAGCATCGGCTATCCAGCAGCCGGCATCTGCTTGGATTCGACAAGAGATCTTACAAGAAGTACCCCTCCGCTCGAATCTCAGAGCCCTACCCTTGAAGCCGCGGTAAACCGTGTAGGGTGCTGTATCTTTATGCTCATAGTACAGGAGTCCACTATTGGGGTAAGTGGGGCTCGGCCTCAACCCCAAAACTCACACCTTGTGCCCAAACGCTCCCCGGAAAAAGGAGAACGAGCAAAAGCAAAGACACACCGTCGCCATTCCCATCATCAGCTACACCCAGATCTGGCTACAACTAGTTACCCGGGCAATGGAGGTAACAACAACCACGCGAGTCATCATCAGAATTTCCTCAACTGTGGCTGCCCTAAACCCTAAACCCTAAACCCCGGGCTGAATATCTCAGAGCCCAGCTCTCTAGCAGCGCTGCGGCTGAGACATCCGGAGCTTGCCGATGCCTTGAAGGACTCTTGCTTCGGAGGCTGTAGTCGCTCAGACTAAAGTAGTTCCTTTTTGGGGTTCATATATAAAATCCTACTAGGTACCCCCTAAAAGAGACTACTATGGGGCCTATGGGTAGTACTTGGCTGAAGCAGTTTGGACGTGGTGTCCTGGTGGTCTTCTCTGGTGATCTTCGGTCTCCTGCCAGTCTCCTCGTGGTCTCTGGCTAGTCTCCTGAGGCGGTCCGTCGTCCGTTGATTGTGTAAGGGGTGGCGGTCGCGGTGGTCGTGCCCCTCTTGGTCGTCATGGTCGTTGTGGTGCTCGATCGTCATCACTCTCGAGTTGCAGACTCAGGCGTGCGAAAGAGCTCCAGGTGTCAGCTGCCCCTCGAAACCTTGAACCTCTGTGAACCCCAAGAAAATGCCGCAGGCGATTATTTTGGCATCAATAACGCGCGCAATAAACTCATCGTGCTATCCGCGCATTCGCTTTGTGGGTAGCCTTAACATCCTTTAAGCGCCTTTTCTCACACATGAGACCTTGCTCTGGCCACGAATTGAAGCTTGGTATGATCTGCAGCTTCCCGGCACCCGGCCGCGCGCGCAGTACTGGGCTCATGCAAAGCCCTAACCCCCCAGGTACCTACTATATAGAGCCCTAGGCGCTCTAGTGCCCTATATAGTAGGTACCTGGGAGGTTAGGGAAGGCTCTGCAGTAGCGGTCGCAGGCCGTAAGACGTCAGGGGGCGACCGCGCTTCAAGGCCTGGGGCCCAATGACGCTCGATTCCTGCTTTCGGATTCAAGGTTCAGGGATCAGGGTTTAGGGAACCATAACCTGTGTGTGTGTGTGTGTCTCTCTCTCTCTCTCTCTCCTAAGTTCTGATTTGTGTGATGGAAACCATTTGTGGCGCACGTAGGCCACACTACAAGGTAGGCCTCGACGAAGCCCGGTTGCACTCACACAGCCGTGGAACATGCCAAGTGTTCTATGTTCCACTCTCTGCATCTCTGCATCTGCCTGTAGTCTCCATTGTAGTTCCTTTTTTGGTTAAACCAACTTTATATTTAGGATCCTGTAAGGGAACCCCAAAAAGGAACTACAATGGAGACTATAGTTGAGTTCCAGGTTGCAACAGGAAGCTTCACAAAGCAAAGGGGATCCCCCGGCTCGATGCTGCCCAAACACAAAGCCTGCAGGGTCGGCAGCCAAGCATCCTCTTCGGCTTCGCCTGCAGATGGGTTCTGGCAGAGACATCTAAACCCCCAGGTACCTACTATATAGGGCCCTAGGGGCTCTGGTACCCTATATAGTAGGTACCTGGGGGGTTAGGGGAAATCAGAAGAAATCGAGACTTGGGTTTGGGTTTTCGAGTACTTCATGATGAAATACAGCTTATTACCACATATCAGCAAGGTTTGGGATGCAGGCAGAAAGAACTGTCATGCGACAAGTTCTGTAAGCCTCAATGAGACCTCGAAGCTCTGACCTCAAGCGACAATCGGTGTTGTCAGTGCGCCTTTTCTTAACCTGCCGGCTGACTGCCTACCTACGACTGCAAATTCCGATGTGGCACGGGTTCAAGCGAAACCCATGCGATCAAGTAACAATCCATAAGACCTAGGCCCCCTAGCATGCGAAACCGGAGTAACCTTTCCCTCCAGATACAACACCTGCCTCGCAGGCGGCCAGTGGCGTTGTCACTGCCACCTCGTGCCTTCCAGTGTCTTCACGTTAGCACAGCAGGCTTCCATATAACCAGCATGACAGCCAATGGCAAGCAACGTCGGAAATACTGCGAAATCGGATTCCAATATGACTGCAAGAAGGATTCTGGCAAGAAGGCCAGCAGCGGGAGAAGTGCCATGAAGCCGGCACTTGTCATAAATCATACCCTAAACACTGAACCCCTTTGAAAGAAAGCCTGACGCAGGGGTCATGTGGGCTTGTGGGATTTACTCGCGGCAGAGTCGATTGCCGGAGACTAGAACAGCCAAGACGGAGTCAGACTTCAGGGCAACCCTCAGTCTTAGTCCTGTTGAGCTGGCGCCGTCATGCTCATGAGTTTCCTCTTCCTGGTATACGAGCATAAGGAGCCTTTGGATATTCTCCTGGTATGAGGCTAGCAAGTTGCACACGCTTTTTCTTGGGACTCCCCCCCCAGACATGGCCTGGAAGTTGTAGTCCTCTAGCGCCCGGCGGCGAGCTGCACGGGTGATGCCCAGTAGCCGCCTATCGCAACACGTCCGATCTAAGCAGGGCTGAAAGTAAGGAGATGATGCTCTGCTCAAAGTAGCTGCCGCGACCACATGGGGACTAAAGCACATTGACTCCCCGCTCGAAGCCCGTCAGAAGCGAGGCTGACTAGACTGACTGGAAAGATAAGCGCATCCTGGGTCCAGAAGAAACCAAAGCATCTTCCGTAGAGCCCGAAGAAAGATCCCAAGCTTCAGGGCAAGCCCGGGTCCTCCCAAGTCCGGGGTCACCTGTACAAGCAAAGAGCCGTGAGCGTGATCAGAAAGGCCATGCCAAAGGCGGCAGTGGAGGTGAAGACCACTTCCTGCAAAGGGCGAAACTCGCATCAGCGTAGGCTCGAGGCCTAGGAACCTATAGAGACCTCAAGCACCGTCCCTCCCATTCCGATCAACGGAACAGCCGACTGCATAGACATGCATTCATGTATGCCCGCACACCAGGCAGGTCGGCAAACAGGCTTAGGATATCTAAGTCTTAGGATCCTGAAGAACCGACAGATACTGATGATTAGTGACGGTCATGAAAATGCCAAACTAGCAGCGCTTCAGCAACAGTTTCAGCAAAAGCATCCCTCCCACCCACCCACAAAGCCCCGGCGCAACGCAGAATCGCATGAACGACCTGGATCGAAACAGCAAACGCGAGAGGAAATCAACTGCCGAACCTAGGTGGTAGATAGTACGAAAACACAGTAAAAAAGATTTCCAACGCCTGATTACTACTGATTAATTACTACTACTACTACTACTACTACTACTACTACTACTACTACTACTACGTACTACTACTACTACTACTACTACTACTACTACTACCTCTGCTACTACTTCTTCT